CCTCCTAACTATGATTTTCTTAAAGTTTTTGGATGTCAATGTTTCCCTTTCACTAGACCATTTAATAATCATAAGTTAGAATTTCGTTCTACTCCTTGTGTATTTCTTGGTTATAGTAGTACACATAAGGGATATAAATGTTTATCCGATTCAGGGAAACTATATATCTCCAGACATGTCACTTTTAATGAATCATACTTTCCTTTTGCTCACAAAGACAGTTCCATCTCGTCAACACATTCATCCACGTCTTCGGTTCTTTGTCCTATACCCATGCATCCACTCCCAGCCTCTCCTATTTTGCATACATCAACATCACATACCACTCCTGATTCCTCTCCCATGACTGACCCTTCTCCTTCCATCCCTCCTTCCCCTCCTTCCCTTTCTCCCCATCCTCTCTTGGTAGAGACTAGTGTTACTTCATTTAATGATCACCCTCAAGCCCAAAGCCTGGCTTGCTGATCTTGCTAATCATGAACCAGTTAATGTTGCTCAGGCCATGAGCAATTCTGTTTGGAAACAAGCTATGCGACACGAATTTGATGCTTTACTTGCTAATAAGACTTGGTCTCTTGTTCCAGCTCCTGCTGATTGTACATTTATTGGTTGTCGTTGGGTGTTTAAGATAAAATGGAATCCTGATGGCACTGTTTCTCGTTACAAGGCCCGCCTTGTTGCAAAAGGTTATCTTCAAACTGCTGGTCTTGATTTTACAGAGACTTTTAGCCCTGTTGTTAAGCTTGTTACTATTCGTCTAGTGCTTGCTATTGCTCTCTCTCGTGGATGGGATATTCGACAACTTGATGTTAATAATGCATTCCTTAATGGAGATCTCAGTGAGACTGTTTTTATGGCGCAACCACCAGGTTATGAGCATACTTCTTCTACTGGTCATCCTATTGTTTGTAAGCTCCACAAAGCTTTGTATGGCCTTAAACAGGCCCCTCGGGCTTGGTTTCATAAACTCCAAGGGTCCTTACTTTCTTTGGGATTTCATGGTTATCGGGCAGATCCGTCTCTCTTTTTTAAGCATCGTGGTTCTTCTTGTGTTTATGTGCTCATCTACATTGATGATATCTTAATAACAGGGAGTGACTCTCATGAGGTTCTTCAACTCATCTCTCATCTTAGTTAGGCCTTCTCACTTAAAGACCTCGGTTTACTTCATTTTTTCCCTGGTATTGAAGCTCGGTACACTTCTTCAGGTGGCCTATTATTGACTCAAGGCAAATATGTCCGTGACTTTCTTACTCGGGCTGGTATGGCCAATGCTCGTCCTTTACCCACACCAATGATCACGAGTGAACGTTTATCTGCTACTGTTGGTGACCCATTTCCAGATCCTTCTTTTTATAGGAGCATTGTCGGTACTCTTCAGTATCTCACTATTACACGGCCTGACATCTCCTTTTCAGTCAACAAAGTATGCCAGTATATGCAATCCCCTCGTGAGCCTCATTGGAAGGCTGTCAAACGAATTTTACGGTATCTACAGGGCACCTAGGATTATGGCCTCCATTTACCTAAGTCTCATTCCCTTTCCCTTATTGGCTTCTCTGATGCGGACTGGGCTACTGACCCTGATGATAGGAAGTCTACTTCTGGATTTTGTGTATTTCTTGGTCACTGTCTTGTCACCTGAAGCTGCAAGAAACAGCACACCATCTCTCATTCAAGTACTGAACCAGAGTATCGTAGTCTTGCTAATGCCACTGCCGAGGTGGTTTGGATTCAGTCCTTGCTTAGTGAACTTAAGCTTCCTTTGCCCAATGTTCCTGTTATGTGGTGTGATAACTTGAGCACTGTTTCGTTAAGTGCCAATCTCGTGTTGCATTCTCGCACTAAACATATCGAATTGGACTTATATTTTGTTCGTGATAAAGTTCTCAATCAGACTCTTCGAGTTCAGCATGTCCCGTCTCTCGATCAAATTGCAGATATCTTCACAAAACCGCTGTCTTTTGCTCATTTTGGAAGGCTTCGTTCCAAGCTATGTGTGGTGTCCTCCACCACACTTAGCTTGCGGGGGCATGATAAAGTTATATGATTAAATTAGTTGTATCTAATACTTATCTCTTTATCTATTCTGTTACAAGAATCTTAGGAATTTGTGGTGAGGGAGGAGTCTGCTTTCCTCTGCTATATATATGTAACACTAACTGTACAGAATAATTATTCGTTCAAGAATATATACAAAGGCTGCTTGTTTCTCCTATTTTCCTTTCTTATATCAGTCTCAGAGACACGTTTCTTCACATCTGTGCTGGAAAAGATGTTCTTTTCCCTGCATTGCTCTACAATATCATCCAGGCCTGCCTCATAAATGGGGAGTTGATTACTGTTCCAAGCATTGATACGAGGAACAAAGATGTCAACACCAGCCAGTTCAATTGAAGGAACCTTGAGTGCTGTCACAGCCTTTGTTGGGCCTCCAATACAGCAAATCTTCACCATTTTCTTTATTGTTTTGGTTTTCTAAAAAGACAATGTTGAAATCTTAGCTAAGCTATACACAATCACATTTATCAGGAGAGGAACACGTTGCAATTATCAAGGAAGAATGGTTGAATACGAAGATCAAAGTAACGATGCTCTTAACGCCAAATTTTACAGTAATTTTTTTTAAAGGGACATAGATGGAACAATAATTTGTTGTAATAGAAAATGGAGGGTAAAATAGAGAGTAAGAAATCACACCAAATTAGGTATAGAGTTTTTTATACCAAATTTGACATAACATTAGAGATGATCTAACAATTCACAAATTTTCATATGAATTTGATCTATCTTAATTTATGAATTTTGAAATAAGTTGATGTTGTGTTTGGCTCCTTGGAAGTTTCCATTTCTCATAACCCATATGACAACCATGGCAAAATAGGAGTCCTGAGATTAACTAAATTACAAATCATAGAGGTCAATTTTTCAATATCTTAATCTTAATCTTAATCTTAATCTTAATCAGCCTATCCAATGGTTCAAAATCGTAGAAACATTCAAATAAAGATTCAATGCCCATAATCAAGCCCACAAGAAAACTAGTTACAACCGGAGAGTCTAGAGTTTAGCGGTCTTCTTTTTCTCCTTCCCTTCATTTCTCACAATATATGAATCCAAGAAAGTCCACAGTCTAACCCTAGACGATAAACTCCCAAATTTTTTCTATCTAAAAATCCCTTTTTATCGGAGCGTCTACAGCTTAACGGACTTTTTATTCTCCTTCCCTTCATTTCTCACAATCAATGAATTCGAGAAAGTTCACAGTTTAACCCTAGCCGAAAATCTCCCAAATTTTCTCTATCTAAAAATCCCTTCTCAACAAAAGCCATTTTCTGAAGGATTCGATGAATCTCAGGAGAGCCGAAGCAGTTACCCCTGAAAAGGGATCGAGATATATTGGAATCTCCAAAAACGCAGAGAATTCGAATCCCAATGTATCAAGTCTAGGTTTAAAGTTGTCTAATTCGCCATTGGTGAAATCTACAAAAGGCACAAAGAAGGCAGTTTGCGAAACCCTAGCCAAAGAACAAGAATCGAGGGCGAAATTTTGTGATCGCAAAGAATAAATCATAGAAAGATGAATCGAATGATTTGGCGGCGGATATGGCTTGTACCAAGTGTAAGAAGACAAATGGGAGATCAAAATAGACAATGTAGTTGATTGCGAGAAGTTAAAAGGAATGTAATGTTAGAGTAGATGAGGAGGAGAGTGAAGTCAATTCCATGAATCAGAATACAGATTTTGCATAAGGATATGAAAGGACGGTGGAGAAAAATGGTGATTTTCTTGAGATTAACGGGGAAAATAAAGATGATTTTAATGGGAATGAGGTGAATTTTGAAATGGGTATGAAAAGGAGGAGGGCTAGATTGTTGGAAGGGGCAAGGAAAAGTCAAAAGTGTGCTGAATCGTGGGGCTCGAAGAGTGATGCATTTGGTTAAGGCCTTTGAGAAGCTTTTGACCATTACAAAATCAAGCGATTTTAAGGAAAAAGAGGAGCAAGAATTGGAGGAAACTAAGAAAGGAATCAAATGGGCATTGTCTGGATTGCAAAAACCTCCCGAGATTCCAGAAATGCAGGTTTCTTCATCTTCATTATGTTCTTCAGATTTTTTCCTCACCACAGAGAGCTTAGGCTTGGATTCACGCCGTACATCTTCTCTAGATGGCAGCCAATGAAGGTGCATTGTACTGTAAGTTAGTTTGTTGATTCTTAAACTAAAAAATTGTGTCCCTATTAGTTAATCTTATTAGATATGTTATGTGACTCAAGTATTGCAAGCAGAACCGGTGGTCGAAGAAGTAGACGGAATGTAAGAATTTGTTTAACCTTTCTTTGCCTTGAGCAATATTACTGGTTAAGTCTAGACAATCTGAATTACATTTTTCAATTTAATAGAGTATGGATTCATCTGGGACTTTTGCTAGAAGATAATGGAAGAGAAGGAAGCCTAAAGCAACCTCCCTAAAGCCCTTCAAGCTTAGAACTGAGGTTGCACTACCGCGTTGTGGTTTATTTTGTTTACTTGTCATCAGTCAGTGCTAATTTTCATTTCGTGTACAAATGTGATTCTTGAGGAATTTATGTAGCCATGAAATTTGCAAATGATCCAGTGACCAAATTCATATTTATCATTTCTCTTTATTCTAACTTTTATGAGAAAATTCATAACATCAGCTTGTATATCATGCATTATTGCTCATATCAATTTGCAGTTTTGTTTCAAACTAGTTGCTTACGTTGGTAATGATATCATCATTCTTTTACGCAATCAGGATTACTTTATTAGATTAATTCCTAGTTTCCATGCTTGTTGTAATCAGGATAACTTCATTTTATTAATTTCTTGTTTTGACACTTCATTATTTGCTTATCTCTTCCGAAATAATACAAATTTGGCGATCGGTACAATTGCAGGAAAGAGGAAAATGCAAAGAGGTAGAATTTATGAAGAAGGTACAACAAATGATGGAGGAAGAGGAGAGGCTTAGAATACCAATAGCTCTTGGTCTTCCATGAACAATTGACGAACCAGACGTAATTCAGTAGTACTATGGGAAAGTTTTTAGTCTAACATAAACTCTTTTAAATTACTGATCATGACAACACACTTTTCCTTTTGTAATTCTGTTTTGAATTTTTGAAATTTGTCTAGCTCCTGATTTTTTTTGATCACCCAGGTTTTATTGCAATTTTTCCGGATAAGTGTTTTTTGAATACTGAAAGTGAACGTATAAGAACTGAAAAATGTGGACCTGATTGAAATTTAATGACTAGAAATAGTTGAATTAATTTGTTTCCCATTTTGCCCAAATAGTTGAAATTTAATGACTAGAAATAGAATCATTATGGAAGTTAATCGGTAGGTACAATCGAGAAAAGTCCACTAAATCCTTCTGCTATAAAAGATTTAGGTACGGGTAAGTAGATTCTTAGCTCAGTTTAATATAGGTTGCAGGAAGAATAAGAAACTTAGTTTACCCGTGTTTGTCCTACAAGTTAGCAAGATAAAGGAAGCAGCAAAAAAAGTGCTTAATACATTTGAAGTGGATTGATTGATGTATACGATGCTATGTTTGACTTGAGGATTGATATAGTTTAAGCAGTTTTGCATAGTTACTTGATTTATATCTAATACAGGCAGGGGCGGATCCAGACCGTTCGAACTGTAGGGGTCAAAATTTTTTTTTTTTCGAACAACGTATCATGAATAAAAAGGAAAAATCGGTTGTTTGCTGTTCATGTTCGATATTTGCACTTTGGAAAGAAATAGGTGGATCATATGATATATCTATGGACTAAATAATGGATATGGACCATGTGATATGGATATAGATTTAGGATTTGGACTTTTTGGGGGTAGAAAATTAAGTTTTCAGCAGGTAGAAAATTAAGTTTTCAGTAAAAAATAAAAAATAAAATTAAAATTAAAATTAAAAAAATTCCAGAAAACTGTGGGGTCATTTGACCCCACATGACCCCATGTGGGTCCGCCCCTGAATACAGGTGAAAAACACAAGATATAGAGAAATGGATTCTCAGGGATGGCAAAAATGTTGACCTCGATTGCTCTCCTCCTCTTCTTCTCAAACCTCTTTCCCCTTCTCCTATAATTGTTTTATAGCATTCTCCATCAATTTGATATCAGAGCTACAAATCTTTTGTTCTCAACTCCAAAAAAAATCATCCCAACCAATTGCTTTTATACATATAAACATTGCAACCTCCTCCATCCGAACGCTATTCCTAGAGCAGTATGAATAGAAAAATATTTGTCTCTAACACAAACCCATTCAACAACATTATACTGACTGTTATCCATCACCCATCATCCACTATTACCCGTCTACCTTGACCTGCACAAACATCGTTCGAATTGGGAATTTTCCAAAAGTCCAGTGTTAATTGGACTTCCTTCCCTAAAATTCTACCGTAGTCTTCAATAATTTCATAAAGCTTGTTGGTAAATCAGTTTCTACCTTTTGCATCTGGTTGAGAATTATTTAGATCGTTGATTGAAACGTCCATATAAAAAAGAGGGGGGAAAAGTGAGAGAAATAGAAAAGAAAAGAAAAATTTATGGTAGTTATACTACTTTCCATTGTTGGTGTTTCCGCCGAAAACGTTAGCCACAAACACTAAACCAAATATCAAACGCCACAAGCCCCATAATATACAACAAAATCAATCCATTACCTAGCTCAAAATCGCAAACTAAACTAACCAAACCATAGCCAAGACCATATACCTCCCAAAATCCACTCATCGATTTCAACTAAGACCCAAACCTAAGAACCCGGGCTAATACAAAAAGATCCAACGACACATCCGAACACTAATTACTCATCGCGACCTCTAGCCGAGTACTATCGGTCGAGTGCCCCGTCTCATTTGCTAAAACGGCCTTTGACCAAATTTTCTTTTAAAAAAATATAAAAAGCCACAAATGTCCCTAATTAAAAAAGTTAAAGTATGACACGGTTCAACACTAAAGTTTGTTATATTGTAACAGACAGTCCGAATGAATTTGTCTCGATCTTAACAAATCGCAATAGATCGTAACACATGATTGTTTGAGCCCTTTAAAATCACCATCCGACATCGCCAACTATCACCAACTTCTTTCTCTCCGTCACACCACCACTCACTAAATATCCTCAATCGCCACAATTAGCAACTCCTCTCTCCATTACACCACCACCCACTAACTTTTTTTCACCCATTAATCGCCATCTTTCACCAGAGCTGCTCCTCCCGTCACACACCTCCAATTGACTCGAACTGCAGCCGACCAGTTATGCCAGCAACAAATCACCACACCTGTTGTGCCACTGTCCCTGAAATTCGCCATACTCGTTCAGTAATCTTCTTTAGATTGGAACTTTTGAACTGGAGCGGGAATCTCTTGTGCCCAACTCGTTTTATATCTGGTGAGCTTATTTGAATCCGTGAGCAGATTATCTAGAGATTCGATCATCAATTACATTGGAAATGGAAACTTGCACCTTCAGCAGCTTGTTTGAATCACATGAGGTATATCGATTTTGCATTTGGTAAGCTATACTTTATATTTAGGTGTTTGTGACCCGTCAAACCTCATATTATAAAATAAATAAATAAATAAATGTCATACAATATCACATATACTCCATATAACAAATTTTTACATGTACAAAACGTCCTTAGTTCACTACCGTGATTGTGTACCTTCACCTTAAAACTTGTACACACAAATATTCTCCTTCTGGAGAGTTTATTAGAGACATACATTCTCCTTCTAATTATGTCACAATCCACCTACAGGACTTTAATGGTCTCCTTGGATTCGATTCATTTCTTGATTAGCATTTGACACTTGTCAGATCTGCTAAGTGTTATTGGAAGTCCTTTTTGCGTAATATTGATAACCTAGGCAGGGGCGGACCCACATGGGGTCATGTGGGGTCAAATGACCCCACAGTTTTCTGGAATTTTTTTTTTTTTTTTTTTTTTTTTTTTTTGGGTGCTGAAACTTAATTTTCTGTTTTTTTTTGTGCTGAAAATTCAATTTTCTGCCCTAAAAAGTCCAAATTCTAAATCTATATCCATATCACATGGTCCATATCGAACATGAACAGCAAACAATCGATTTTTCCTTTTTTTTCATGATACGTTGTTCGGAAAAAAAAAAATTTTGACCCCACAGTTTAAATGGTCTGGGTCCGCCCCTGAACCTAGGTCTACATCCAATCACTTTGCGGGGATGAGATGAAACGAATCCTAAGTAATACATATGTCTTAGTGTATTATTAAACTCAATTGCTAAATCAATTCTTTTTATACTGTATGTACCATTCACTGTTAGCGTGTATCTAGCCCATTTGAAAAAGACATTGCCCCATTTTTTCTACCATTGTTTTTAATTTCCATTTCTCTGGCCATTTTTATCAATGAATATTAAGAAAATTTACAGAGTAACTGACCAAGGCTTCAACTTCAATATCATTACGAAAGGCACTAAGGCAAGTGCCCCCAAAAAAAAAAAAAAACACTCATTATGGTAGTTAATAGGAAGGTACAATCGAGAAAAGTCTCACTAAATCTTTCTGTTATAAAAGATTTAGGTCCAACCAAGTAGATTCCTGGCATGATGTTTATTATATGGTCATAGCAAGAATAAGGAACTTAGTTACATGAGAGGAG